GTCTCCGCCTCGTCCGGATACAGACAAGGCCCGATTTGGTCTTCTCCATGCAGAAGACCGTTGGCATGGGAATAGGCGATGTCTGTAACCGATTGTGGTGGGGCCAGCGGCGGCAACGGAGACACAACAATTGACTCCTTGCGAGTGTGTGTGTTGCCGACTGAACAGTCGGACAGGCTTGAATGGGTGAGCATAGCCTCGAAACCACTCGAATCCAGGGGCCTTTGTGGATCACAACGTGAAGGTGGGGGCACATCAGAAAGATGACTGGGAGCAAAAACCTCTGCCAAAGTGGCGATTCGCGGACGACGCACACGACGAGCTAAACGGGAATAAATACAGAAGCAAGCATACAAGGCATGAATACCGAGCAGTTGGGTGGATAGATAGATGTGTGAAAAGGTGGAAAGGAGGCTGAGAAGAGGAAAAATACAGCTAGATTTATAGATAGTTTTCTGAAATGATGAGGGGAATATACATATATATATATATATATATACGAATTTTTCGGTGGATATATATATATATATATTAGAAGAGGATGGGGTGGCCAGATGAATGAATAAAACAGGTATCTAGATTACTTTTCATGTGAAGGGAACGTTGAGGAAAGGCAATATAAAAGAGATGTCTGACTGAAAAGATGGATGCTTGGCTGAAATGGGAGAAGGGATGTCATATGAATGGATGAATGGAAAGATATATTTATGAGGTGTGTTGACTTGTAGTTGAATTTTCATATCATTAATCTGCTCCACTGGTAGTCTGAAAACCACACTAACAAAACGAAAAATAATATACATTTCTTGTTTCATAAGTAGGCTCTTCTAGACTAGCAGTAGATCTGTCATATGAGCTGTACCCATCCTATCTCATTTAAGGTGATCAAGGACTATTAGGTGAACTTTTCCACAATCACATGATTCGGCCTTACTTTTCCATTGGATTTCACATGGCAATGTAGGCGATCGCTATAGCTGCATCGACGATATGGGAAAATGCCTGGCCATCCTTCACACTCCCATCTTTTCTATGAATCAAGGGCACTCGCGACAATATGGCGTAGTGGTTAACGTGTCGAGATTACACGCTGTACTTTCATGATTCGACTTCCGCGGGGAGTGTTGATAAGACCCAGGTGAGGCTGAAACTGAGGTCTAGTCCTGCCTGGAATAGAACAACTTTTGGGAAAGCAAAGGTATGTGAAATTCAATGAAAGCGTCAACTCAACTAATATCATTGTGAGAAAATTCAACTGCCCTCTCTTAGACGGAATAAGGTGAATTTAGCTCTTATATGGAAAGAGTGAACGAGTGAACGACTAATTAGAGGAGAGTATATCAATGCCTGAACAATTAGATGTACAGAAAGAAAGAGTAAGTTGATGAAAAGACAGATGTATTGAATAACGAATGGATTTAAAGGTGAGTGAATGAGTAGGTGAATGAGCGAATGAGGGAGTAAGTGAGTGAATGAGGGAGAAAGTGAGTGAGTAAGTGAATGAGTGAACGAGTGAGTGAGTGAATAATTAAATGAATGAATGTGTGAGTGAGTGAATGAGTGAAAGAGCGAGTGAATGATTAAGTGATTAAATGAGTAAGTAAATGAAAAAGTGAATGTGTGAGTGAGTGAGTGAATTTGTAATTGAATAAGTGAGTGAATGTGTGAATAAGTAAGTGAAAGAGAGAATGAGTGAATGAGTGATTGAATGAGTGAGAAAATGAATAAGTGAATGTGTGAGTGAGTAAGTGAATTTGTAAGTGAGTAAGTTAGTGAATGAGTGAATAAGTGATTGAATGAGTGAGTAATTAAATGAGTGAACGAGTGAACGAGTGAGTGAGTGAGTGAGTGAAGTAGTAAATGAGTGAGTGAGTGAGTGAATAATTCAATGAGTGAATGTTTGAGTGAGTAAGTGATTGAATAAATGAACAAGTGAATGTGTGAGTGAGTGAGTTAATTTGTGAGTGAGTGAGTAAATGAGTGAATGAGTGATTGAATGAGTTAGTAATTAAATGAGTGAACGAGTGAGTAAGAGAATGAGTGAGTGACTGAATGAGTGAATGAGTGAATGTTTGAGTGAGTAAGTGATTGAATAAATGAACAAGTGAATGTGTGAGTGAGTGAGTGAATTTGTGAGTGAGTGAGTAAATGAGTGAATGAGTGATTGAATGAGTTAGTAATTAAATGAGTGAACGAGTGAGTGAGAGAATGAGTGAGTGAATAAGTGAGTGAGTGAATGAGTGAATGTTTGAGTGAGTAAGTGATTGAATAAATGAACAAGTGAATGTGTGAGTGAGTGAGTGAGTGAATTTGTGAGTAAGTAAGTAAATGAGTGAATGAGTGATTGAATGAGTTAGTAATTAAATGATTGAACGAGTGAGTGAGTGAGTGAATGAGTGTGTGAATGAGTGAATGAATGAGTGAGCCAATAAGTGAATGAGTGATTGAGTGAATGAGTGAGTTAGTTAGTGAAGGAGTGAAGGAGTGAATGAGTGATTGAATAAGTGAGTAAGTGAATGAGTGAACGAGTGATTGAATTAGTGAGTAAGTGATTGAATATTTAAGTGAATGAATAAATGAATGAGTGAATGAGTAAGTAAATAAGTGAATGAGTGAATGAGTGATTGAATGAGTAAGTTAATGAATAAGTGAATGTGTGAGTGAGTGAGTGAATTTGTGAGTAAGTAAGTAAGTGATTAAGTGAATGAGTGATTGAATAAGTGAGTAATTAAATGAGTGAACGAGTGAATGAGTGAATGAGTGAGTGAGTGAGTGAATGAGTGAACGAGTGAGTGAGTGAATAAGTGATTGAATGATTTAGAGAGTAATGAGTAAATGAGTGAATAAGTAAGTGAATAAGTGAATGAGTGAATAAGTGATTGAATGAGTAAGTAAATGAATAAGTGAATGTGTGAGTGAGTGAGTGAATTTGTGAGTGAGTATGTAAGTGAGTGAGTGAATGAGTGATTGAATAATTGAGTAATTAAATGAGTGAACGAGTGAGTGAGTGAGTGAAGTAGTAAATGAGTGAGTGAGTGAGTGAATAATTCAATGAGTGAATGTTTGAGTGAGTAAGTGATTGAATAAATGAAAAAATGAATGTGTGAGTGAATGAGTGATTGAATGAGTTAGTAATTAAATGAGAGAACGAGTGAGTGAGAGAATGAGTGAGAGAAGAAGTGAATGTGTGAATGAGTAAATGAGTGAAAGAGTAAGTGAGTGAATGAGTGAATAAGTGATTGAATGATTTAGAGAGTAATGAGTAAATGAGTGAATAAGTAAGTGAATAAGTGA